CCATAAAATACAAATCCTGTCTTTGAATCATTTAATACAATCTTCGGTGATACTGTTTTACAATATGGACATGGTTTATCTTTTAATGCTACCATATGTGCAATAAGTTCATTTCTAACTGCTTTACAATGAGTATCTGTATGAATAAAAGATATATCTTTCTTAATTCCTTTTCCACATTCTTTCTTAAATATACTTTCTAATTCTTTATCAACTTCTCGTTCAACTGTTAAATTCTCTTCATCTTCAATTTGTTCTCTTTTTAATTTTCCTCTTGATGCATTTGCTTTTCTTTGGATATATTGTGCTTCTTTAACTAATCCATGAATATCCATTGCTCCTTCAATATCATTTTTTGCTAACCGTTCAAATTCAATTGCTGCTCCAAGAATTACTTGTTTTGATGCTTTTAATGAATGACATTTCATACAAATTGATCGTAATAATTTTAATAATTCCGTTAATAATAGTGGTTGATACATTGGTTCTTCAAGTTCAAAATGTCCAAAATGTCCTGGACATCCTTCTTCAGTAAGTCCACATGTTGGACAAATAGTATTTTTACCAAAAACTCCAAGTGCTGGATCATAAAGTCCTTCTAATTCTTGATTTCCTAATAAATCAAATGATGTTCCTTTTGTAATTTCTTTTACACTCATATGTCGTATTTCATCAGCTGAATAAAAGTCAAATCCTGTTGATGTAATTTCAACTGGTGATTCTTGAAAAGTTTTTCTTAGCTCAACTGATGACATTCACTAGTCTCTTGTGATTTTAGTTGAGATATATTTAACCCTAATTTTTTCCCATTCTTCTTTTCTTCTTTCTTTCTTATTTTTTCTCTGTTTTTCTCTTCCTTTTTTTTTTCTCGACGTTTCTTTATTTTATGAAAAATAATAAGGGTTTAACAATTTTTAAAAACTTTTAATAACAAAATTAATAACATAAATCAAATGTCATCAAAATTAAAAAGCCTTGATGAGATGATTGAGATTGAATATGAAAATGAAATGAACAAACAAAAAGTCGACTGTAAAAAACCTAAATTCCCAAAGAATGAAAGTACTGATTCATGGATGGATATGCCAGCAAATACTTTGAAGCATAAAAAAGACATCAATGACCAAAAAGGGGATTTAGCTAAACAAGCATATTCTGCTTATGAAAGAAAGATCCGGTGGCTAAATCCAAAAGACACTGAAAAGGAGTATCAACAATACAAACAAAATGATCAACTTCGTCAAAAAATACAAAGTGGGTATGTTTCTCCTGAAAAAATTGATTGTTTACAAAAACAACTTGCTCGAGGTAAAAAAGAAGCTCAAAGATTTCATAGAGAACGAAAAGAAAAATCGTTCCAAAGAGATTATATCAATGTAAATAATAAAAAATTTAATGAACATGTTAATCAAGCTTATGATCAATATACATCTGATATTAAAGATGCATTAGAACATTAATCATATATTTTCTAGTAACTCTATTATTGTATACATTATATTTCCACTTCTTTTAATCATCTTAATTGATGATGATATTATTTCATTTTTATATTATGAAGAAAATAAATTAATAAGTATTTTATTCTTTTTATTCTATTTTATTTAATTATAATAATATGGAAATAATACACATATTAAATAATTCGATTTATTAATATAATAAATTAACAACTTCCTAAATCATTCAAGTATTTTTTTCTGGTTTAAAATTATTAATAATTAAATTTTTGAAAAGCACTTTTTATATTTAAAGATGTAATAAAAACATCTGAAGTTCATTAATGAAATAAATTATTTCTTTTGTAAATTGAAAGAATTTTATATAAAACCAAAGTGAGACAGTATTTGAAAAAAGAAAGTAATAAACAAAGGAACAATCAATTCGTATGATTGTTATTTTATTCTCATTTTTATGGTTAAAACCTTTTTCATAAACCCTTAAAAAAACTAAAAAAAATAAAATAAAAAATAAAAAAATTTTAAATCTGAGTAATTCAAATGAAGAGACAAGACCTTAGTACTACTAATTATTTCAGTGACTTTGTTCAGAATATTGCTGGTTATTTTTGTCCTAATTCAAAACCAACTCAAGGAATTCATCGCATGGCAACTCTTCCACTTTCATCTTCGTTGTCACAAGGAATTTCTAGCATTCCTAAACAAGAAACATCGTTGTTATTTGGTATTGCTTTTGACCGTAGGTTGGAAAAATTAAAAGAACAATATGCTGAACAACCTGTTGCACAAACCCAAAACAGTGATAGTACATTAAAAAGACAAGATGCAGGAAATCTTTTAAGAGAAAAACCAGAAGAACAATTTGAACGTCCAAAAGAAGTTACTAAACGAAAAGTAGAAGAAGCTATACCAAAAACAGAAGATAAAACAACAAAGAAGGTTGTTGAACGTAAGCTTGATACTGATTCTGCAAGAATTAGACAAACAATTGCTAAGTTACGTGAAATAAATTTTGAAGATATTGTTCAATGTTTAAATGATAGAAAAGAACGTTTAATGAATAAGGATAGTGTTAAAGGATTTAGTCATCTCAATTCAAATACAAATGACGAAAAAGTTCTTAAAGCAAGTATTAGTTCATTATTGTTGAGTTCTTCTTCTGAGGAAGAAGAATTAGTTCCATTAGGAAAGAAAGATAAAAAAGAAAAACAAGAAGAACAGAATGAAGAAAGAAAAAAATTTAAAAAGTCATCACTTAAAAGAACTGTTAAAGTATCTTCTCCGAAAAAGAAAGTAGTAGATTTAAATAATTCTTTAAGATCTGTTAATGATAAAAGTCAAGGTCTTTTATCTTTTGATATTAAAGACTCAAATAAAAGTGTCAACGAACAACCACTTCATTTAGATTCTAGTACTAAAAATTCTTCTCTTTCATTTACTTTACCATTAGATTCTAGTTTGTCTCAAAAGAAAACAGATCAAACAAATCAATTAAGTCTTGACTTTAAGACAGACAAACCATTTGACACTAAAGAAGAGTCTAAAAGCCCTTCTTTTGATATAAAACCAAGTTCTTCATTTTCCTTATTTGGTGGTGACATTATTAATGATACTAAAAAGAGTGATACTCAGCCAACAATAGGTACAACCCTCTCAACTGAGGAAAAAAAAATAGAAACTAATTTTTCTGGTTTAACAGAAAAGCCATTAAGTTCACCTTTCTCTCTCAATGGATTTTCATTTGGTAAGTCAACAGAGAAGCAACAAGATACATTTACTGGTAATGCTTTATTAACTGATAAACCAAAAAGTATAGAATCAAATACGGAAAAGCAAACTACAAGTATAGATAAAACTCCAAGTACAACTACTGAACAACCAAGTACTAATATGTTTTCAAATATTGGTTTTTCATTTAGTATATCAGACGATAAACAAAATTCTAACACCAATGCTGTCATCAATGAAAATAATGATAAACAAAAAACAACACAAAATAATTCTTTTGAAACAACATCCAGTACTACAGATAAATCAGGAAGTAATGTTTTTTCTATTAAAGAATTATCATTTGGAACTTCTAATGAAAAAAGTACAACAAATTTATCAACACAACCAACAACCACAAATACCGATAAATTAACAAATAATACATTTTCTCTTGGTGAGTTTTCATTTGGCTTATCAAATGAAAAACCTAAATCTAATTCAACACAAGACTCTTCAACAGAAAAATTAAAAGAATCAAATACAAATGTAGAGACTCCATTAGCTAATCCATTCTCTCTTAATGGATTTTCATTTGGTACTTCAACTGATAAACAAAAAGATACATTAATTAGTAATCCCTCATTAACTGATCAATCAAAAACTATTACATCAACTACTCCAGGGTCAAGTTCTGATAAACCAATAAATACAAGTAATGATCAATCAAAACCTACTACAGTAAATTCAGATAATAATAAAACAGATAATTTTACAACTGCTCCAACTCCAACTCTTGAACAATCAAAAACTAATACATTAACAACAAAACCAAGTTCTGAACAATCAAAAACTAATTCCTTTGCTAATACAGGATTTTCATTTAATACTTCAAATGATAAAACAAGCGTTGATCCATTTGCAGCATTCACTTCATCAACTACAACAACTAACCAATTAGGAAATTCTTCATTTGGTTTTGGTGTAATTAATGACAATAAATTACAAGATAAGACAGTAACAAACAATAATTCAATTGGCTCAACAGATAATTCTGCAAAAGATTCTAACACAACAGTAGTACAAACATCTAAGTTATTTTCAGGACAAGAACAAAGTTCAGGTTTGAACGTTCCAAATAGTCCCGGTTTAGAGTCTCAAAAACAAACTACAACGTCTGGATTTGTTTTTGGGAATTTTGGGTCATCCAATGTAAATCCTTCAAATGAAAAAAATACTACTTCTTTTGGTCAAAGTAATTCAAGTTTAGCTGGATTTTCAAATACTCAAACAACACCTTCTTCAACAGCTCAAGGACCATTAACTAATCTTACTTTAGGAACAAATCAAACAAACAACACAAATTTGGGATTTTCAAACTTTTTTAACTCTAATAAACCAACAGAAGGTATGAATGGTCAATTACAAAACACTTCTCAAACAAATAACACAAACCCATTTGGAAATACAAACTTTGGAAATCAAACAATCAACTTTTCTGGAGGACAACAAAATCAAATAGGATTTGGTCAAATTGGTGGTTCAAATTTATCAGTCCAGGGAAATACGTCTAATGGGAATCCCTTTAGTTCATTTTCAAATAGTCTTAGTCAATTTGGAAATACTATTAATTCGAGTAACAGTGCATTTAATGTGGATGATGTTAGTGGGTCTAAAAGCTTTTCAAAGAAGAGATAAAATTAATGTCTAAAAAGTGATTAATTGAATGAAATTTATTAAAAAAATTTTTATAAGTAAGTTTATTTTCTTAAATGATAAAATTAATTATGAAAAAAGTTATGTTAAAAACAATCAAATCAACTTAAACTCAATTTAATAAGTCTTGATAGATAAACGAGGAACTACATTCATTGATTGCATTTCTTGGAACAATAATTTGCAGGCATATGGCATTGTTACATTAGTACAATATAACGAGGATTCACAGAATTTACAATATCCAGAATGTCCAATTAAACCACACTTTTTACAAACACAAACTTTAAATGCATCTGATGAATACATTAATCTTTCTAATAACAAATTAGTTGCTCCATAACCAATTAGACAATCTCGTTCCATTTCTCCTAAACGCAATCCACCATCTCTTGATCTACCTTCTGTTGGTTGTCTTGTAAGACTTGATTTTGGTCCACGAGCACGAGCATGCATTTTATCAAGAACCATATGTTTTAATTTTTGATAATAAACAGGGCCAATGAATATATAAGCATGAAGGGCTTTACCAGTGATTCCAGAATATAACTCTTCTTTTCCATCATAAGAATAACCAGCTTCAATCAATATTTTTGACATATCATCTAATTTGTCTCCACCAAATGCAGTACCATATTTAAATGATCCATCCATTAATCCTGCTTTACCACTTACTAATTCAAGAAGTTTTCCAACTGTCATACGTGAAGGGAAACCATGTGGATTCATAATAACATCAGGACAAATACCTGTATTAGTAAATGGCATATCTTCTTGATTTACAATTAAACCAGTAACTCCTTTTTGTCCATGTCTTGATGAAAACTTATCTCCTAGTTCTGGTCTTCTTGAGGTTCTTAATGAGATTTTAACTTTTAATGGTTCTTCTTCATTTGAAGTAATTAAGACTTGATCAACATAACTAGGAACTGGTCCTTTATATGTCAATACTTCTCTTCTATATTCATCATCTTTTATAGTGTCTGTAGTAAGAGTTCCAATTGTATTAAGAGGAACTTGTTTATTTAAATAAATGGAACCTGGATTTAAGATAGAACCTGGAGAGCAAACCCCATCAAAATCCAATGACTTGTATTTTGGTAATTCTCTTTCTTCGTCTGTAGGACATACAACCCGATCGCATGCTCCATTTTTATATTTTTTGATAACACATTCAGCTTTTCTATAAACAAAACATCTTCCATACCCTCTGTCAATTGAAGCTTTATTTAAGATAGAAGCATCTTCAATATCATAACCAGAATAACTCATCACAGCAACCATAGCATTTTGACCAGCAGGTAATTTATCGAAATTAATCATATCTATAGTTTTTGTTTTAACCATTGGTATTTGTGGATAGTATAATAAATAAAGTAATGTATCAACTCTTTTAAATTGATTATATCCAATTGTTCCAATTGCCTGTTTACCCATAGCACATTGATATGTATTTCTTGGTGATTGGTTATGATGTGGATAAGGAATAAGTCCAGCCACAACCCCAAGAATTGATAATGGATCAATTTCAAGATGAGTAGTATGTTCATTAATTTCATTTTCATTAATAGCAATATATGAGTTATTTTCTTCATTGACATCAAGATATTCTATTAACCCTTCTTTTAAACAATCTTCAATACTCTTAAATCCTTCAACAATATCTCTTATTTCTTTAGGACCAATTTTACTTTTACAATTCTCTACAACAATTAATGGTCTACATACTCTTCCTCCATCACTAGAAATATTAATACTTCTTTGCATTTCATTTAAATGCAATGATACTTTCTTTCCTAACCGTCCATGTCTTCTTAATAATCTGCATTGTTTTAAGAAATGAATTGGGTTTTGATGAATTCCAAGTAATTGACCATTTAAAAATACTAAATAACTACTTGGTGCATTAACCTCATCTCCAGAAATTAAATTAGCGTCTTCAACTCCAAGATTAAATAACATTGTCACAATCGCTTCATCATTAGAATCTGTTGTAACTTCTGTTAATAATGAAAAGTTTTTAACTAAACCACAAGACTCTCCTTCTGGTGTATCTGAAGGACAAACCATTCCCCATTGAGACCCTTGTAATGAACGTGGTCCTGAAACTTTACGTGTTTTTTCAAAATGAGAATTTAAACGAGTCATCATTCCTAGTGCAGAAATATAACTTAAACGAGAAAGAACTTGAGTAATACCAGCACGATCCATATTAAATCTTTTTAATACCCAATTCCCAGTCGACAAAGAATGAATAAGTCCTTGAGTTATTCTATGTGGAGAAATACATTTAATGATATCAAAAGTCTCACTTCTTGATTTTTTAGTTAACCCCTTATTAGCAGCATTTTGTAAGTCAGTGTTAAATTGTTTAAAAAGATCTTCAAACAATAATGACATTAACTGTCCTGCTAATTCCATTCTTTTATTACCATAATAATCTTTATCATCTAACTCACCTGTTTCATCAGCTTTAAGAATCCAATTTACCATTAAAGCTATATAAATAATTTTAGTTTTAAAATTATATCTATTAACTTCAATATGAGGAAGAACCAAATTAGCTAATACATCACGTGCCTCTTCGATTTTAGGTCGTTTAGAAATATATCCTTTTTGACCAGTATAAATTTTTAAATGATTTCCAATATATCTTAATGCCTCTCTTTGATTTAATACATCTTTTGCTTTACACTCTTCAATAGAGTTAATCATCTTAGATGTGTAATGATTACCAACAAATTGTAAAAACTCCATATCACTCTCCATTCCCATTGCTTTTATAACAATCATAATTGGAAGATCTTCTGTTAAACTGTTATGTTTTAAATATAACTTTCCTTTCTTTAAATAAACGACTGTACGTGACTTAACTTCATGAGTAGCTGATGTAACTGATGCTGATAAGAATCCTTGAGTAGTTGTTTCAATTAAAATTCTATTTTTACTCATTTGTTCTTGTGAAAGAATAACCCTCTCAACACCTTTTACAATGAAATATCCACCTGGATCCATTGGACATTCTCCATGTCTTATAAATTCTTCAAATGTATTATTATATAAAACACAGTGTTTACTTTGTAACATTATAGGCATATATCCAATTGTAACAGTTTTTCTAAATATTTTATTATCTCTAGTATATTGAATGTTGGCAAGGATTGGTGCTGTATATGATATGTCTCTTAGTCTACATTCTTGTGGAGTAATTGACTCTTTTTTATAATCAACTTCAACACATGGAGTATCAACTTTTACATCCAAATACTTTAAATAAAATCTTGGATCAGCATCACATGTAATTTTATCATTTGCTTTAACAATTTGTTTTATTTCTTCATCAATAAAATAATTGAATGAGTCTATGTGTTGTCTAACTAATCCTCTTGCTTTAACAAAGGCTGGAATTAATCTCCATTTATCTTCAACAGTATTAATAGCTCTCCCTAAGTCTGGACAATACACTTCATTTTCAATATCCTCCATTTCAATATTATGTTTTTTTATATAATCATCCACCTGTTCCTTTTTAATTCTCTCCATTATACTTTTTCTCAGTTATTCTTTCTTTTTCATTTCTTCTCTTTAATTGTTTTTATTATTTCTTTATTATTTCTTTTCTTTTGAAGGGTTTGCTTCATAACTCAAATTTGAAATTTTTTGTTTTTTATTTTAGTTATTTATAACAATTTCTCCTTTTTTGTTACTTTTATTTCTGTCTTAAATATTACCAATCTAATGTTATTGTTTTTAATAAAACTAAACAGAATTATCATCAATACTTGTGTTTTCTAATTGAAATAACCAATGGTTGAAGGCTATGTATATTTCCATAAAACTTATGGAACTTCGTTTTATCTAATTTAATAATGAAAAGTTTTCAAGTCTTAACTATTTGATTTTTAACTTTTTTCAATTCTATTAATTTTTATTCTTTTTTTTAATGAGAAATATTTATAATAACAAAAATCATTTTTATAAAAAAGATATTTTTCAGGAAAATATGTTTTTAAAGTGTGAATTTTTGTTCATTTATACCAAAGTAGTTGATTTGTAATGTACTGTTATTTTAGTACTTTCTTAGTAGTATTAATTGTAACTGGTATAAACGAATCACTTTTGTAAATATTATGCTATTCCGTTTAAAGAAATGTTTTTGAATTTTTATTGTTTTTTATTTCTTTCAAACCTCATTAAATTTCTATCTACACTATCTATATTCAGTATTTTCATCATTATTTCTGATGGGATGTTTTGTTTTTCTTATTCTTTCATATCTTCTATTTTATTAATATAATTGTTGTGAATGTGAAAATAAAAAATAATATAAATCATGTGTTTTGAAAGTAAAATATTGATAAAAATAATGATTGACTTGATGTTAATAACGTGGATTAATTATTTAAACATCATTATTTTGAACTTATAAACATCAATTTAAATTAAAATGGAAGAGTTAATAAACAAGAATAATCAAATAATTAAAGAAGTAATAGAAATACTTCCAAACATTCAACAATCAATTGATGATACTACTAAGAATTATCAATATTATATAGGAAGTATTAAAAATGAAGTATTTGAAATAAAAGATGATGAAACATATTCAGAAGCAATTAAAAGAGGAGAAGGAATATTTGATAGGATTGATGAAACAGAAAAAAGAAGAAAAATAGTGATAGAGAAAAGTCAAGAAACAATCAATAAAATAGAAATACTGAAGAATAAAATATCAAGAATCATACAAGAATGTAAATCAGATGAAGAAATGAAACAAATAGAAACGTATGAAATATACTATTTGATTCAGATAAATATAATTGAAAAGGTAATACAACAATATTTGAAGAAAGAATAATTAACAAATAATGAATATTCAGAAGGAAATAAATTTGGAGGATATGTTCATTCTAAAATTGATGAAGTTGAAAGTTATATTAAAGATTCACAATCATTTGTATTTTCATTAGAATCAAAATGAAGAATTGAAGGAATGAAGGAAATTAATACTAACCAACAATATGCATTTAAATTAATGAATCAATCATATGATATTTTTATTTAAATTTGGATATAATGGTATTGTTGTTGGTCAAGAAAAAAGATAAAACAATATCATCTTGTAACCAATATTCATTTGAATATAAAAGAAAAAGAATTGTACTTTGTTTAAAACAACATCCAAAAGATTTCATAATAAAATGAAACAAAGTAATTGAAATGAAAATATTCAGTCAGGAATAATTAAAATTGAAAAATAATAAACTATGATAATATAATTAAATAAAAATAAAAATTACATTAGCATGACTATGTTTATATTTCTTATTCACCATTTCAACTTTATTTTATTATTCTTTGCTATTGTATTTTGTTAATGACACTCAAAACAATCATTTTTCATTAAAATAACAGTAGAATAATTAAGTAAACATCATATTATAAAATATAATAATTATTAGTATCAACATTTTTGAATAAATATATTTACATTCATTATGTTATCATTGAATAGATTCTGCTTCTTGTCTTTATTCATTTTTTTATTCATTTTTTTTATGTGTAATTTTATTTTCTTCTTTATTGATTATCACAAAACTTTTTCTATTTCCGTGGTTAATCCATGAAATTATAGTTTTATATTGTTTTTATTATAAAAATTGAGTAATGAATAACAAAAATACTATTAAATTTATTAAATTATTATAAAAAAAATAATATTACCAATGTTTTGATGTTATCCATAAAATCATTTTAAAGAATAAATTGAATATTAAATTAAATGTGTTATTTGAAAGGAGAAAAAGACTGTTATAACAATTAACTAAATATAGACATTATTAATTAAATAATAAATATAATAAACAAAATAAATAATAAAATTTAAATAAATAACATAAAATCATACAAAAACATAAGAGTATAACAAAAACAAAAATACTTAATAAAATTATTAATTATAAGATTGTTTAATACAAAAGCTTTAATAAACAATTATAGTGTAATTAAGTCATAAAAAATAAAAATAAAAAATTTCTAATATCGTTTTATTATTCTCTCTTTTTAATTTAATTTCCTTTTACTCCTTTTTACTCCATTTTTTTGTGTTTCAAATTTTGTTTTATACTAAGTTAGAAAAAGAAAAATTAAAGAAAAAAATACTACGTGTTATTTTGTTTCCTTCTATTGTAGCTTAGCTCTTTTACTACATAAAAACTATAAAAAATAACAATTAATTGAAAATTACTATTCAAATAAACAAAAAATGAACTGAAAAAACCACATGTCTTGGAAGTGTGCTCTTTGTGGTTTGTATTTTCTTCTATTTTAATTAAATAACTGTTTAACTGTATAGGAAAGTCAGTATACTTTGCTGAAAGGAAACAGGCTGAAGGAAAAGATTGGCATAATATTTGTTTTAATCAATATTATAAAAAGAAAAGACAACAAGACGCTGAAAAGATTAATGCTGAATATACAAAAGTTGCAGATGTATGCCCAGAATGTGGTGAATTAAGAAAAGATTCAGAAGTTCGTTTTTGTGCTGGGTGTGGTTATAAGTTCCAATAAAATCGATATAACCTGTTAACAACAAAAGTGGTACTATAGTTCAATTCTTCTTATCATCTATTCGGGGTTATATTTTATCTATTTAAATTAAAATATCTTTAAGATAATATTTAAAAAAAAATTATATCTTAAAAAAGGGCTACTGTTTAAAAAATGTTTGAAGAAGATTTTTTTTTCTTATCTTCGTTATCTTTTATTATTTCATTTTTCTTAACTAAAAATTTAAATAGTGAAATTAAAAGAACCAAGTAATAAATTCACATCATATTAATATCTTCTTACTGAAATACTATTGGAGCAGGTGGACTCATTGGAATTTCAAGAACTGAATGATACTCAAATCCAACAAATTGAGCAATTTGTTCACAAATTCTTCTTACTTTATTTGGAAAATCAGTAGAATTATCAATAATAATTTGGTGTGGATGAATTGACCATTTTTCTTCAATTGTATAATCAAGAGCTGCAGCTTCTTCTGGACGTTCTCTTCTGGCTGGATTTGATTTTCTATCATAATACCTTAATGCACCAATAGCAGTTGTTCTTAAATGAAGAACAAGGTCATATCTGTTTTTACAAAATGAGTCATAATCAAATCCTCCTTCTTTCATAACTTTATCCCAATTATCTTCTGACATATAAGCAGCAGAATCCATACTTCCACGATCAGAAAGAATTAATGTAATTTTCTTATTAGTTGATTTAGCATATGTATAAAATTGATCTTCCATAGCTAATTGACATCTAATTTTACATAATTCCCAACATAATTTTTGATTTTCAGAGGCATGAGCAGGAAATCCAGCTCCTGAATTAAAGAACATAGTTGAATTCTCTTGAATATGAAAAACTTGAATTCCAAGTGGTCTAAATTGATCAGCAATTAATGACAATGAAGTTGTTTTTCCTCCTCCTGGTCCTCCAGTAAGTACAATTCGTATTATTTTAGGTTCTTCATCAGGAACACACTCTATTGGATTATCAACAAAACTAACAGACATTAAATAATAGTTTTCAGGGTTTGTTTAAATATCCAATGTTGAACCATTTGTAATTTCCTTTTTGTAGAAAAGTTAACTGCGTTTCATTCTTTCAAGTAATTGTGTTTATTATAAACACACAGTTTTTGGTATAAAAATGTTGAATTATGTTTAAGAAGAAAATTAATAATTTTTCTTCAGTACATCATCTTATTTTACATGAATTTACACAATAAGAAGGGTTTCATACATCATACAATTTAAGTTAGCCTAAAATTATCTATCTTTCGTTTTTGAATAAAACATATTCATTTTATTGTTAGAACTAACAAAAAAGTATTGAAAAACGAATTATCAAATAAATTTTTTAAATAATATTACTTAAAAATAATTTGAAAATAAAGAAACAATCTTAAATAAAAATACTCAAATAATAATTATTCTAATAATATTTTTATTAAAATATAATTTATGAATAGTATTTTTAATAAATATTGTCTATTATTTTATCAGAAATTAGTAAATTATCTTATATTAAAAAAATTATTATTAAACTTATCTTTCAGAAATTCATTAAGATAAATTACTAAATGAAAAATTAGTTGACTTCATGAAAAAAGACTTTAATTGAAATTATTAATTTCTATTGTCACTCTAAGTCTTAAGTAAAGGAACCTTTGAATTAAGACTTGAAATAAAAATAAAATATTTTGTGAAACTTAAACAATCATTTCTTAATATTCATCCACATGTCTTTGGTGATGCTTAATATTTATTTCTTTGTTTTAAAGAAAATTAAATAATTATCACATTATATATTAGAATTTAGTTAAACATTTTTTGTGAATAATCAACCAATGTTTAATTAAAAAAAGTCATAAAAATAAATGAGAAAAGATATTATTAAATGAATTAAAGTTAGTTAATAATTCATGATTGTGTGATGTTATTTGAAAATTATTTTATTTATTTCTTGGTTATAATATTGTTGTGTTTGAGTAAAATGATTAATGGATAAATCTGAATAAATAAATAATGTTAATAGAAAGAAATGATAAAAAGAAGATGAATAAATAAAAATGAAAGAAAAGAATTAAATAAGAGTAGACCTGATAAGTTCCATTGCTGCTATTCTTGCATTAATTTCAATGTCATCATTCCTTCCACTTCCTATCCAATTGTCATCTCGAGTGATATATCCCATTTCAAGATATCTATCAATATCTTCTTTCATTTCTGGATTATTATTTTTCATGTTTTCCATCATTTTCAGTTGGTTTTCAAAATACTCTTCAAAGAGTTGATCTTCCCATCCTTCTCTTGTATTGTTCATTTCCTGTTTTGACTTTCTTTCTTCTTTCTTTTATGTTGTTGTCTCTTCTTTTCTTTTAATCATTTTTTGGTTTTTGACTTTTCTTGTTGTTGTTTATCTTTTTTATGTTTTGAATGAAAAAAGAAATGAAAAGAAAAATCAATATAGTTTTATTTTACTGAATGAAATATCACCTCCTGACTTGTCTAATATTTCACTTGCTTCTTCTTCAGTTTTTCCATCTATCATAACTTGTTCAATAAGAGAAATTGGGTATCGAGGAAGACATGCATTTTCAAAGTGAGGTAATGTGGGTTTAAAGATAGGATTAGTTTTATTAAACGAAGAATCACCATGAATTTGTCTAATGTGAAAAGGTTTCTGCAAAATATAATCAACATCAGTGTTACTCATAAATTTAATCTTGTCATTTTTAATTCTTAACACACCTTCAGAAAAGTCTATAACTGCACCAATTGATTTAAGTGTGTTTGTCCCTATTAACAAATGGTCAAGTGGTGAATCATCTCCAAGCACATTCAGTGTTGTAATACAATACGTATTTCCAATAATTATTGGAACAAGATGAATGACCCCTATTGTTTCCATTCTTCCTACTCCTTGATACATTTTTTTTACTCTATAATCTATTTGTGTTTCTAAATTACATTCTTTACATGCTCTGATTGATATTACTGTTTCTTGTGCCCCACAGTCTATCATTGCCTCTTTGACAACTCCATTAATTTTAACTTTAATAAACACTAATTCTCCTTTAACTAATAACTCTGGATGTTCTTTTTCTAGAACTTTTATCTGTCTTTCAATTTCTTCTTGTCTTATTCTTTCTTCTATTTTCTGTTGTTCTTTAACAATTTCCATTCTTTATTTTTTTCTTTTTAGTTTTTCACTTATAATTTTATTAATGGAATCAATCATCCATTCTCATCGCCTTTCAACTGACACCCTTCGTGCGGAAAATGCTCGTTTACGTCTCAACGCTTCTAATGCTCTTTCAGATTTATTGGTTAATACCAGAAATAATTCTATTTCCTCTATTCATCCTCTCCTTTCTAACCTTTCTGATATTCAGTCTCTCAATAAACAACTCCAATTAAATGCAGTTCAACTCTCTAAACAAACTAAACATTGGTCTGTTTCAATAACAAAACTCCAAGACACTCTTAATGAACTTGGGAATCTTGAAATTGTCGGTCAAACTATGGAATCTCAACTCAATGACATTGACTCTGCTATTCGCAATCTCATTCTTCTTAAAAATTAATTCTTTTTTCTTTATATCTTTTTGTCCAATTTGCATTGAAAAAGAAAGTTATTAGCTCAGCAACATCACATACAAATTCTAAAATAAAAACAATTTGGGGGTTTCGTTATTATCTGATCATAATGTTGACTTCAATAAAATAGATAATGCCGTATTTAAGACTATTGGCGAGTATTGTTTGTTAGTGGAACTTTAGGGTTGAGTGTGGGTTATTGTCGCAACTAAAAGTGAGTTTTATTGGTAATTGTTGAAGTTAAAGAAAATGGGTTTTATCCATAGTAATGTTATGTAAAATAAGGTAAATGTTATTGTAAATATGGCAAATTTTAATCCTATTTAATTTTAAACTAAAATTTTGGCAGTAATTTAAATGAAGAAGGTTTGAAAGGATTTTGTACTAAGAAGAATGACATATGCTGGAGATATTAACTCTCTTAGTTTTCAGCTCAATAAAAATCTCAATAAGCAAACCTCAGTTGATTATTCTTCTTAGCCAGTTTGATTTATTTCATTCTTTTCTCTTTGTTGACCTTTCACCATTTTTTTTTTATTCTCTTAGAATAGATATAGTGAAAACATAATCCATCAAATGTCTATTGTGTTAGTATACTAAATCTCTTCAGTCTCTCCTCGTTTTTCTTTTATTAATATTTCACGTCTTTTTTAGGTATTTTTTATTTTTTACTAATTGAACTTTCCAATAAAAACGAAGAGTTATGACAGAATATGCCTCCTAACAAACAAAGGTCAAAACATCTAATACCACATAAAGCAGATTAAGAACATTATTAAAAGAGAGGGATATTAAAGATAACAAAGAAGAGAAAGGAGTGATAGATTAATAGTAAAGAGAAGAGAAAATGGAATAAGTGTTTTAAATAAACAAATAAAATGAATGTATAAGAAGAAATAAAGAAGAATAAAGAAAGAATGAACAAGAAAAGTTAAAGAGAGAAAGAAAAGTATAAAAGGAATAAAGAAAAGAAAGATCAGAAAGAAGTTGATAAAATAACACAAAACACTTTATGAGATAAGAAGAAAAATGGACAAGAGTATAAAAAGAAATTAATTAGATAAAGTAGACTCAGATGGAGAAGAATCATCAGGAATAGAATTTACAACAACAGGAGAAAGAAGATGACGATTAGAAGCATTTCTATCACTCATCACTTCAAATTGGATTGGAGTAGCTCTAGTAGATGTTTCTGCAAGATTAATTTCTAATTCAGGATTTAAATCAGTTTGGAGAGGTGAATTAACTGATGATAATCCAGAGGCACACATAATAATCTTTTTCTTAGCAACTCTCTTTAATTCATCAGCACAACCTGATTGTTGAACAAGATGATTAAAGATAGTATTTTCATTATCAATCAAATGAGAAGGAGAATCATTTTCTACTAATTCACCTTTATCAAATACAAACACTTTATTAGCATCCATAATACTTTGTAATCTATGTGCAACAGTAATCACTGTACATTCATTGAAATTCTTTCTAACCATTTCTTGGATTGTTTTATCAGTTTGAATATCAATATTTGCAGTAGCTTCATCCATAATCAAAATCTTTGATTTTTTTAATAATGCTCTTGCTAAACATATAATTTGACGTTGTCCAAGTGAGAAGTTATCCCCATTTTCTAATACAACATCATCAAGTTCATTTACACTATTTACTAATTTAAGAACACGTTTCATTTCTTCATCTGAAGTGTGTTTTGTTGGATCAAGATTATCTCTTACTGTACCACTAAACATAGTAGCTTCTTGAGGTAAAATACACATCCTATTTCTTAATATATGTAATGGTACTTTGGTAATATCAATTCCATCAACAAGAATTTTTCCTCCTGCAGGTTCTTCAATTCTAAATAATCCAGCCATTAGTGTTGATTTACCACTTCCAGTTCTACCAACAACACCAATCTTTTCTTTATCTTCTATTGATGCATTAATTCCTTTGAGAACTAATGGTAATCCTCTTCTATATCTAAATTTATAATCTTCAAATTTAACTTCACCTTTAGAAGGCCATTCATCTGGAGGTTGTTCATAATTTTCTTTCACTCTTTCTGATTCTTCATTTCTTACTTTGTTTATTAATAAAACTCTTTCTGTTGATTGCATAATGGTTTCTATTTCAATCAAACTCATTGCAAAATTAGTAATGGCAGTTGGAATATTAGTGATATTTGTTAATGCAGTTCCAGCAATAGAGGCATCCATTGATGCTCTCAATTTGGTTATAACAATTACAATAACAGTGATAATAGAAATAGCAGCCCCAATCCAATCCATTCTTTGAAGATACCAATACTTAGCCATCTTACAGGTATAGAGAGCCATAGTGTTATTTTTGATTTTATCAATTAATTTAGCTTTAAATTCATTTTGACCATTAGAGACTCTTATTGTTGATAGTCCCATTAAAGTTTGGTCAAAATGAACGAAGATAGGTGATCTTGAAACACCTTCAAGTCTCTGCATTTCAATGACTGGTTTAACTGTGAAAATATAAAAAGCTACAAAAATTGCAGCTATAACAAGGGCAAAAATAACTAAATAGATACTGGCTTTAGTAATAGTAATAACAGTAATGACAATAGTTGATATATTAGATAATAAAGGTTCAACATAATAAGGTAAACTAAAATCAATCTGATGGAAATCTCTTGAGAAGTAATTAAGAATTCTTCCCATTGGAGTAACATCGAAAAATCCTAGTTTAGCTTTTAATAATTTATGAATTAATTTCTTATGAAGATTTCTTGATACATTTACACAGAAGAAAATTATAAACAACTCTGTGGCATAAACACCTAAGAAATCAGCAATAAATGTATAACAGAATTTGTTAAATTCTTCTCTATTTCCTTGTGGTAATCCAAGTTTTGGTCTAATAGATCTTCCCCATGTAGTTAAAAATACATTATAATAAAATAATGCTGTAATTCTTGAAGCAAGAAGTATTAAAACCATACCAAAAAGAATAACAGAACCTGCTTTAATATATTCCCAATATACTTTAAATGAAACTTTTCCAAGTTCCCTTATTTCTTCTCTTATTTTTGTATTACAACCATCTCCTGAACTAATTTCACCATTTTCTTCATTATTCTCACTCTTTTTGGATGAAAGAGTCTTAATAAATTGAGATGCTTCAAGACTACTATTTTTTAATTCTTCTAAACTTCCATTAAATGCAAGTTTGTTGTCATCAATTACTATAATTCTATCTGCTTTCTCAATGAAATATGTTTGGTTAGTTACTATAATTCTAGTTTTTCCTTCGAGATTTTTCTTAATTGCATTTTCAAATATATATGTTCCAACATGGAAATCAACAGCAGACAAAGGATCATCAAGAAGCATGATATCATGTGAATTGTATAATGAACGTGCTAATGCAATTCTTTGTCTCTGACCACCAGATAGATTAGATCCTTTTTCAGCAATAACATATTGATCTCCTCCAACTAAATTATCAATATCAGAAGTTAAACAAGCATCTTTTATTGCTTGTTTATATTTTTCTTTATTATATGGAGCTAAGAAACATATATTTTCTCTAACAGTTGCATTCATTAACCAAGCAGATTGAGATGAATAAGTAATTTTACCATTAAGATAAGATTCTCCTTTTTTCTTTTCTAATTCATTTAAAAGTGCTAATAAGAATGATGATTTTCCACTTCCAACACTTCCTAAAACACATACAAGTTCTCCTTTTTTAATTTTAAGTTCATCACAAGCAAATGCAGTTTCTCCATCAGGGAAAATATAATTAACGTCATTCATTTCAATTGCATTTTCTGATTCTTTGTTAACAACTTGAATTGGTTGTAATTCTGGTTTTAATAAGAATCTTTTGATTCTTCCAAGAGAAACAATGATTGTTGTAGAGCACGTAGCCATTAGTCCAACTGTCCTAACAGGAATTCTAATAGAATTAAAGAGTGCAATTGTTGTAATCACACGAGCTAATTGCATTTCAGATGATGACATTACCATAGTCACAAATAATGCAATAGACATAGATGACCCAATTTCAACTGTTAAAGTAAAAAATGAACATCTAAAGAATCCAACCAGAAAAACAAAGAATAATTCCCAGAGTCTTTTTTTGCCAATCCTTTTTTCTGTAGTTTTTTCCCAATTATTGTATTTAATAAACTTAATATTATGAAGAATCTCTCCCATAAAAGATACTCTTTTATCCTTCATATATACAAATTTACTGAACAGTTTACCATTCAAAAATCCAAATCCAATATTAAGTAATAAGAATGCAATAAAGACAATCAATGGAACATATACCCATTTACCCATATTAATATAAATTAGTACAAAGAGAACAATAAACATTACTGGAGATGCTAAACCAAAAAATACCATCTCAACATTTCCTATAAACACTGGTGCATCATTTGCCATTAAATTAACAAATCTTCCAGGCTCTTCTATTCCTGAAGCATTTAATTTTAATGCTTTATCATAAATAAGACCAATAAGACCATTTCTTATTCTAACACCTAAAACAAAAAGCCATTTCTTTCCAAACTCTTGAGTAAAACAAGAAATTAATTGGAAAACAACAGTTAAAAGAATAAAGAATATTCCCCTTTTGAGAGTCCCTTGTGGATTATTAATCCATTTAATAACATATTGCAGCATAAGTGGAAATGCGAGTGCAATTAATTCATAAATTACCATTGTAATATAACATAACAAAAACATTTTCCATTCTAATTTAAATATAACTAAAAATAAACTAGGACGTTTTGATTGAGACTCTTTTTCCCATTTCTCTTTCATACTTGCTTCATATTTTTCATATTCAAGTGTTTTTGGTAAAGTAGATAAATCAGGAATTCTTAAATTTCCTTTTCTTCCTTTTAATAATTGAGGCATAGTTTGTCTAAAAAATAATGTTCTAAAGAATTTAGCAATAGTATTTGGAGTTTTATCATATTTAATTACATCATCAGTTTCAAAAAGACCATCATCATGAGAACTAGTATCTTGTTCTTCTAACTCAATTTCATTAGCATTAAATGTGACAGTTTTCTCAGACATAGCGAATAAGTGACTCTCTTAGATTAAAACCCTTATATACTAATATCCACTTTCAAAAAAATTCCAAGAAAAAGATAAATCTATTCAAACCTAATCAACTGCACTCAAAAACTATTACTAAAAATAAGAGTCTATCTTCTTCTTAATATAAAACTCCATTTCTTCTTCTTTGGATTTTGGAATTTTATCCTATGATTTATTTTCTAAATTTTCAAGACTTTTTTAGTAAATATCTTATTTTTTAAGAAATATTTTTGAACAACCAAATTCTAATTAATTCTATTTTGTACCTGAAGTGTAAAAAAGATCGATAATGTAAACAATAGGAATTTTCAAATAAATTTGAACTTTTCCCCATAACTTTTTCAATAAAATGAAAATCAGTTCCAATCTCAAATTCACTTTTTGAACATAGAAATACTTTTATTATTTCGTATAATAATTGCAACAACAATTAAAAATATTTTTTAATGTATTTTTTCCAATAAAAAAACTATTTTCTTTATGTGGAAAATCTTTAAGATTTACTTTAATGAAACTTACTTTGTTTTAATAATTTTTTGAATAAAAAAACACAGTGAATAAAAATATAACTATAACACAAAGAAACTCTGAGCTATTATTAACAAATATCATAAAACAACATTCAATAAACTCAATGTAACTGAATTAAAGTATCTGTTCCATAATTAAAAAATTAAAAAAAAGATTAAAGAATTATAACATTTTCTTAGAAAAAAAAATAGAGAGAATTTTTATTATTTTAACTTTAAGATAAAAAAAGAGAAGAAAATAACAATTACTCTTTAAGAATTTTCAAATAAACATAAATAAACAGTCTAATAAAAATAAAAATGGAAAGTGTTAGTACAACAATGAAACAAATAAAACAGAAAACCTTTTGTAACTTTTTAATGAAACCTAAATGGTTATAAATTTTGAATTTTTTATAACAATCCTTTTTGGATAAAAAGTGATAAAAAATTAATTTTCTCAAATAAAATGAATTAGTAATTAGTTAAAAACAAATCTTAGAATAATTAACAAAAAATAAATTATTTATGTTATTCTGATTTTATATTGAAAAACAAAAAATAAAACCAGAAATTTCTTTTGACTTGGAAAAGTTAAAAACAAAATTGATAAATACGATTTTGTTGATTGCATTAAATTAACAATGCCTTAATGTAACCAGGGGTATCTGGATCTCCAACATGTAAACAAGTATATCTTATTGTATCAAGTAAAGAATTAATTGCTTCTGTGTAATCAACATTATCAGCAAAATTTTTCAATTGCATAATGCAATCTTTAACCTAAATAATAAGTCTTTTTATCAAACAACAATAATTAAACTACAAAAATAAAACAAACTTTAATAGGTGATTTTTTATGGAAAGAACCTAATTCGGAGATATTATCATTTAAGATGATACAACCAGTCATAACTCTTAGACAGAATAGATTAGTTTCATTATTTTCAAAGATTCCTTTTTGAACCATATCATTACATACATTTGCAAATAATATTAAAATTTCACTAAAAGATGGATTAATAGCTCCATTTTGAACACCTTTAATAATTGTCACTAAATGTGCCATCATAGGTGATGGATTAGCAATAAACATAGAAATTCTATTTGCCACTTCATCAGGAATTTTTAATTCATCTTCTCTTTTAAATTGTTTCATTCTTGGAAAACTTCTTCTATAATAACTAAAGTCATTTTGAATACCAGGATTAGTAACTTTTTTATTATCAAAAGCTAATACAAAATCAAGAATGACACCAAGTTGTTTGCATAATGCCTGTTTATCTGTTAACGTAGCTTTAGCGTCGTCACGAGATAATTCAGTAACTAACTTTGGAAATTCTGTTTCTATAAATATGAGTATTAAATAAATCTATCATTTTTATTGTAAAGTCAAGGTTTTTCTCCTTATTACTTGGATATTTGTAATTTCTTACTCATATTTAATAAATAAAATTAAAGAATAACAAACCTAACAAAACAGCAAATTGATAGAACTCATTAATAATATCAGCTTGAGAAGAAATTACTTTCCATGCCTCTTCTTCTGGTTGACTCATACCACTTAAATTATCAGACCCTGTTCTTGCAGAAATGGCTTTTCGAATTAAGTCATCTTGGCCATGATAATTTGTGACTTTATTTAAAACATCATCTTTTCTTCTCAACATAATATCAATGTCATTCCATATTTTTAGCTCAGCTTCTGATGGGCTAACATCTATTCTGTTATTATTTTTTTATTTCTTTATTAGCTTTAAAATTAATTAAAACTTCTTTCTTCTAGAATTAGTTAAATAATTAAAATTTGAAGAAAACGAACTTTCAAAATCAATCGTAATTTGTTCACCTGTTGCACCACCTCGAAAAAGTGCTAAAATCTGTCCCATAGTCTATACTGATTTTTAAGTTCAAAGATTTTTGATTTTAGAAAAATATCTGTTTTTAGATTTTTTTGTTTTCTTTTTTCCTTTCTTTAAAATTAATTAAAGATAATTTTTCAACAGTAAAAGACACCATTTATCTTATTATTTACTTCTATCTTTCTGATATTACAATTAATTTTTGTTACAAAATGTTTATAGTAACAAACATAAATCAATGAAGTGTTTGGTATGACCAAATCAATACAATAAATAACTTGATTTACCAAAAATTGAATTATGAAAATATGAAATAACAGAGTTATATTTGATTAATAAAAAAACAAAATTCTTTGAGTATTATTGAACATTATGTCGTTTCATAGCATTTATACAGCTTGTTAGAAAATGATGGTTATGTCTATAAACAAAGTAAGAATCCAATAAAAATAAATTTAAGGTATTGTCCTAATCTCACTTAAGATTGACACTGAAAAACTTGATTAAAAGGATTAATAAAAATGGTTGCTTTAATCAAAAAATAAATAACAAAAAAATTGTGAAATTGTTGTACTAAGTGTTGTTATAATTAAGTTTATTGACCAAACGAATTTTATATATCTGCACTCTATCTTAATATAAATAATAACTTCTTATTGTATTAAATCCATTTTTATATATTGAAATTTGACTAATAATACCTATCGAGTTGATTTATATTTCCACTTAAAATAATAAAACAGAAGAAAGAGAGTAGAGAGATTGTAAATGTCATTTTATTTTAATGTTTATTTTGCATGGAGTGAAAAAGATAATAATAACTTAAATTTTTAAGAATAAGTGTTGTTTATATAAATTAAAATAGAGGTATTGATAAGGAAGAGGTATGGAAATGAAGTAAAAACAGAATAAGTTAAAGATCAATAACATAAATTATCAAAGTACAGACATAAAATATTGATTATATTTCTTATAGATTAGTATTTTATTTATAAAAACCATATTTTTGATATTCATTATGTATGAATGAGTTGAGATAAATGAAAATAATTTATTTCATATTGATTTTATAATAATAAAACTATGGAGTATATTGTAATTCAAGATGACACTCAATAAGTTATAAATAATATTTTTCAATGAAATATTAAGTATAGATATATGATATTGAATCATTTATAAATTTATATTCTTCATTTTTCTTTTATTCTTATTTAATGAATATTCAAATGAATATTGTATGTTTCAATGACAAGTTTACCGAGATTCTCTGTCTTATTAACAAGGATATAATTAATTTAAAGTTTATTTCTTTCAATAATGCTAAACAAAAAGTGTAATAATTCCATTTAGTATTTCATTAACTAAATCTTTTAATTTTAACACAAATAAATTATATTGTTGTGTTTGTAATATTTTCTTTGTTGGTCATGATAAATAAGAGTCTTTTTGGTTATTAACTAAAATATTTTATCATTTATATGAGTATTAGATTATTTTATTTCTTAATTCCTTTCTGACGATGAATTTAGAATAACAATAACGAATTATATATATTTATATTAATCATATATTATAGACAATAAAGTTAGATAATTCTAGCAAAAGAAAGAGTATTGTTCTCTAATAATTAAATTTTAAAAACTTGTCTTTATTTTTGCTAATCTCTTATAACAAATGTTATTATTATAATGTGATGTCTTGTTGAATGATTTAAAGTTTAAACATGCTTATGAACAATTTATTTTAATTTCATAGATTCAAGAACAGAAGATGATAAAATAATATAAAAGAGTAAAAGTTTTTTCTTTCAAAGTTATTTTCTTTTCTTTATAATACAATTAAATTCCATTTTTAATGTTTAGGATAAACCTCTTTTTTGTGATATGATATGGTTAAAATGACATAACTTCTATTTTATAAAAGAAGATAAAATGGTTAATACTCAATATTTCAATGAAATTCCTAAATAAATGTTTTTTTGGATATGTTATTTTTATTTCATTTCATTTATTCTTATGAACAAAGTGATAGATATCATATATTATAATAGAATTTAATTTTTTTTTTGATTAAAGACAAATAATTCTGTAATTTCTCTGATAGATTTAAGAAAGAATTACAGAGTAATAAAACAAGACAGAATGTTAGACTTTCATCAAAAAATAATAATTTTAACTTAAAAAAAAATAGTAAACAATCAATAAAATTTTAGGTTTGAGAAGAATGCTCTTTTAATTTACTTTTGTTAATGAATGTTTTATAGACGTTTGTTTGTTGTATTTGTTATGTAAATATTTCAAATCCAACAGAAAACAAGATTCAAAAAAGAACTATAAAAAAGAATTTAATGATTTGTGTGTTGTTTCTAATCTATTTAAGTTATGGTGAAGTCATCAGTGGTACTCCTGAAACATTCACTCAACTGACAAAAAACATGTCATTTGTTAAATTCTATGCTCCATGGTGTAGTCATTGTATTGCATTACAACCAGTGTTTGAGGCATTGGCTGATGAATATAAAAGTAA